GCTAAGCATTGTCGCTGGGAGCTGTTGCAAAGAGTTGTCATTTTAGTTTGATTTTAAAAGAGCAGCACTTTGTTTCAATTTTTGATATAACTGGATGTTTGGATCAACTAATTTTTTGATCAGCGTGTGAAATCGTCAGTGACATCTTGGGATCATTTCATTCGCGACGATATTCGTCGGTGTACGTGCCGTAGCAGACACTGCGAGTACTCCTAGGTGATTGGGTGTTTTCTGCCGCCATATTGGTCGCCAGCCAATGGATGCAGCATTGGTGGCAAGGTTGACCGCAGGCATATTTTCATTAGTGTTAAGTTGTGCGCGTTTTGCAGTAGGTTGGCGTTCAAATTTTCAGGTCGTTTTGACCGTATTGTGTCAGCGCTAGTCGTGTATAGGATACAGGATCGTTAAGAAGTTACCAACGAAAATGGAGAAACGCTTGGAATTGGAAATGAGAGGCCGTGAGCCCCATGAGGTAAGAACTCTTGTTTATTGATAGTTAATGTGCGCATTGCGATTAATTTCGCGCGCATTTTTTGTCTCTGCGACACTGTCGTTGTTTTGGCATCGTTACTGACACCGTGTAGGCAAATGCTGTTAACGTCAAACGACGACTTTAAAGTCTTATGCTTTCGGTTTAATTTTTTTCGTCTTTTCCACATCAACTTTTAATTGTCGACATGTGGCATTTTGTTCCAATCCGGCCTTCCTCAGGCAGCAAGAAGTAAGGGCTCGACGCATCCTTATCTGAATTTATATGCCGTTTTTTGAAGTTTTTAATGTAAAATTTTTCATCCAGGCGGAATTTTTGGCTTTCCTTATATCTGATTAAATTTACCTGTTCATTTGAAGTCTGATAGTCGTGATTAGTTTAGGTGTAACGATTTTCTTGGTCGTACCAGTTAAATATTAGAAATTACGGGTGATTCCATAGTGATAATATGAACCCCTATAAGCTAGAAATCTACTAAGAAAACGTTTTAATGTACTTTGCTTACACTTTTTGCATTGATAAAATTTTTGTTTTCCTAAGATTTGAGATGAACGAAGAATTACATTCAGCTTCACTCCTCTTTACAGACCTTCGTGGAAAATGATTGTGTCTGCCTAACAATTCAGTGTGACTGACGATAAGAGTTCGCATAATATTTACCATGTCAGATTATAAACTGATTGGAAAAGCATAACTTGGTTCAACTCAATTTTTTGCAGTTGCATTGTTTTCATTTTATTTGTTGTTATAGCTGACATTTCACGTCATCATTTAGATTTTGACCCTGACGTTGGATAATTGTCGAACAACGCAAATTGCCGGAATTACGGATGAATTTGTTAAACTCGAAACTCTCAGTTTAATAAATGTTGGTTTGACTACACTGAAAGGTTTCCCCAATTTGCCGGCATTAAAGAAGGTCGTTGGTGTTTTGAATATTCAAGTTTACATTCTAATTTTAGCTTGAACTCAGCGACAACAGAATTTCAGGGGGACTAGAAAACCTTGTTGGATGCCCAAATTTGGTCACACTTAACTTAAGTGGAAATAAGATAAAGGATCTGGCTGTTTTAGAACCTTTGGTTAGTGCTGGTTAGTGAAGCACATGGATCAGTATGTTATTTTAGAAGGAGCTGAAAAATTTGAAAACGTTAGATCTGTACAACTGTGAAGTAACAGGGCAAAATGACTTTCGTACAAAAGTATACGAAATGATACCTCATTTGTGCTATCTTGACGGTTTTGATCGTGAAGATGTGGAAGCCGCAGAATCAGATAGTGTTGATGACGAAGGTAAGGTTCCAAGAACATGTTAATCGTATTCTTACTTACAGTTTTTCAGACGATGATCTAGACGGAGATGTGGAAGGTAAGATCTTTAAATTCTAACACTTGCTGAAAACTATTCTCTAAGACGAAGATGAAGAGCCGGAAGAAGAAGAGACAGAAGAGGAAGATGAAGATGATGAAGAAGAAGAGGCTGGCGATGAGGAAGTCGGTCTGGACTATCTTCATAGCGAACATGTGCTCAAAGTACTTAATGCAATTTTTTTATTTTTTCTTGCTTGAAAACTGTTTTACGGTTGGAAAGTAGTAATTGGATTTCGAGCTGTATTAAAGTTTTACTTTTTGTACAGGATGAGGACGATACCGAGGACTTCGAACCAGGGGAAGATGAAGAGATCACCGAAAAAGACGAAGAAGTAGAAGATAAGGCAGAGACAGGTAATTATTAATTTCGTCTGAAAATCGAATTTACTTATTAGCATTTAACGGTTTTTGCTTAGCTGTTTGCAACTTTCTGTTATCGAAACAACTTAATATGGTATCATTTTCTAATATCTTTAGTCTCCAACAATAAAGAATAATGGGCTATTATTTACCTGTTAAAATAAGAAATATTCTATTTGAGACATTCAGTTTTTTTCCACAATATAAAGTTGCAGATAATCATGGGTTACAATCATAAATAGTTGACCTTGTTTAAAATCATACTTTCGAGTTTAGGACGCGGAATCAAACGAAAGCTTGGTGAAGATGAATCATCGAACTGAAGCTTTGCAGTTGGTGATGTGATGATTGTTGAGTTATGTCGACATGTTTATGCACGTTTTTGGATTTTCTTCATTTCGTTGCACATCGTATTTAAATAGCTGTTAAGCTGGGTGTGAATATGAATTGTAATATACTTTGGGATGAAGGACTACTTCATCAGTTGGAGATTCACAGATTTTGTCAACATGTTTACTTAAAAGTAAAGTTGTACATTTCTTGATTCTTAGAGAAGGAACAGATTTCCTATGATTTTATTGGAATACCCGTTTGAGTCGGCAAGCTCAAAACGGTCTACAAACATTTTAAATCCACGACACAACACGTGCCTCTATAGTTTGGCAGCGACATAGCATACTTTTTCTCTAACTTCGCTGGTACAAATCTTCCACCGAGGAAATGATATCGCCCTTTGAAGGCTTTTGCGCACTTTTTTGGTGCAGTAAGGGAAACGAGACAGTCAGGTTGCAAATCTGTAGGACTTAACGGGCCGCGTTCCACATCCCATCCTTCAACAGATTAAACACTTGCTATTTCTGGTCATTCCTAAGAATAGCTCTTACCTGACGGTATGTCAACACTTACCACCGGTATGTCGGCCTTCCTTATTTTTGTAATCAGTGAGGCGTACGGATCTTTAGCCGGAGGACGGAAGCTAAAACCAAATACGGCATCTACAATTAATTGGTATGAGTCGAAGCTGTGTTCAGTCCAGTCTGCTTGGAAGCTTGTTATATCCATCTCTTTCACCTGGTGCAGAAGGTTGGTGAGTAGCTGGTTTATCGGTTTTTTAGGATATATGACGGTAGGAAGATAATTCTAAAAATACGAACCAGTTAAACGGTGATCTGCTTGACATTCACGAATGAGAATAGTAAATAATGCCAGTCCAGGTTAGATTGATTATACATGCCTAAAACGGCTATCAAAGGTAGGGAACAAAATTTTAAATACAGATGGACGACAGCGAATTAATCGGTTGGCGTCATGGTGATTCGTCCATGTTACTGTGCTTACGAAGTGGCTACGTAACGAATTTTTAGTAGCCAAAAAGCAAGTGCAGAATTTTTAATTATGCGCTACTGAATGATATTTAGCAATGGAAGTTGTCAGTTCCACTAACTTCGCAAACAAACGCCTCCAGATGAGTCTTGTTTCTTTCCTTGTGTTCAGCAATGAAACGTTTTGTGGCCAGGAAAAAACTGCAGTGTCCTCAAGATCAGGTATGACTTACGATCCAGAAGGATCGTATTTTAACCTTAGCATCGACTGACGAGTTTACGACAGAACGGTGCTATGTCTCACATCGATATCATCAGGAGTAGAGCATGGTCATTACTATTTCTTCAAATCATTGATAAAATCTGGTTCTTCGTTCGACCAACTTACGAGGAGGGTTGCGAGAGACAGAGTTCTCGCTAGATCATACCCGTTATTCTGCTGCAAGGCACTTTCACACGATCAACAGCAAGTCTAATTTCACACTGTACCAAATAACTACAGAGCCAGCTACACTGCAAAACCAATCTCGGTATGCATGTCCAAGGGAGTAGCAATGAGCTAAGTAGGGGTCATCTACAAAGAAAAAGTACATCGTACGGCTTTCCCTACATGTGAAAGTGTCGTGAAGCCTACAGCTTAGCTAACGAAGGAAATGTCAGTTCTTTCATCGTTATTCAGTTTAATCCTGAACGTAGTTTCGTTTTCTACCGTCAGTGAAAGGTGATAAGTATCTGACAATGAAATAACAATAACTATCGTAGTGTAGGTCACCGCCTGCACTTCCATGATAGTAGAATTCATGACGACAGTGCTTTTATAAACCCTAGGGTTCGAAATTGATCTCCGAGTCATTTGCATCAGCTAGGAATGCCCTATTTGCCGTAGAAAATATCGAGAACAATACGTAAGCTTAACACAGTCTTCTGTTTCTTTCTACATAGTGGTATTACTGAACGATGGAAATCGAATGAACCTAGAAAGTTTGGAATTATTGGGACGTAAGTTTCTCAGAATATACTTCCACGATGGTAACTATTAACAAATCCTTGTTTCATGAAGATTGGGGCGCGACGCAGGTTTCCTGATCGAGACCATCAGTCAAGAGCATCTCATTAACGACAGTAAAACTTGTAGCTGTAAGCAATCCCGAAAATGTGAAATTCACTTCGAAAAGATATAAACAGACTTTTATGATAATAGTTTAAAAAAGCAATTCGAAGCAAGGAAATATAATTAATATGTAAAGCTTTCGGAACCCACAGCGGCATTCATTCTTTAGCACCAATTAATAACATACTATGAACGTCTGATATATGTAGCAAATCTAACTCAACCATTTAATTTCGTCGCCACATCGAACAACGATAGAGAAGTATGAAATAGTGATTATCTTAGGTGTAATTTTTCGCGACAACTCGAGAGTGTTCCGCTGGCCGCATTTTGACATGGGGCGCGGTGACACGTGGCAAAGAGGTCAGCCTCGAACTGCGGAAGTGCCGGGTTCGAATATCGAAAAAGACAAAATTTGTCTAAACCGCTAATTTCTGTGAGCAAAGAAACTACTCCACATTGCTTCGGTGCAACTAGCAGAGAAAAGGGTAACAAATCGCTGGCTTGCGAACCACAGGGATAGCATGAAGCTCTGGTGTGGTGAAACCAGAATGGGTGAGAGGTGTGGCCATGCTATCTGATGCGAGCGCCTTTTAAGGCTACAATTCGCCTTACCAAGTTGAACAGCTGCATTTTCAATATTCAGTGCGATAACTGGTCAAACATACAGTTATTCTGTGTTTTGTTGCTGAATTACGCTTTACATCAACTTATCTGTTGTGATCATGACACTGAGTCGTAAGAAGCTGCAGAATGCCTCTGATGCGTAATGTCCGCTGAATTTTCAGCATCTGAACACTTCGTATGAGGGAGCTTTATTTAGATGATACTACAAATTGTTCTGATTGGCTTTGCTTTTGATAAATATATAAGGCATGACTCACTGTATTGCAGAAAGAAAAATCTCTGAACCTAGATCCGCCAATATCTTGTGCTTGCATGCTCTCCTCCTGTTCGACGCTTTCCGTGTTTCGAACCACGTTTGAAAAGTTTGCAGAATGGTGAAAGGCTTAAGCTAAACTAATTTGTTCAGAGGGTCAATATCTTTTTAATCTTCACTCCTACTAGATATAGTAGATATATAGACCAGTTTCGAGAAAAAAATAGGATTTACTGCAAGATTTCGCCATTTACATCTTAGTACGCGTATCAGCCAACGCTGTTACACGCTATTCAGCCGGCTTCTTAGTCGTTCGTTAGAACAAACGTATCTATGCGGTACAACACTGACCTCACTGAGACAAAAAATGAACGGATTTTCGTATAAAGTGATATAACATTTTCAGCTCAAGCATTGGAAACACTATTAAAATCTTGGAAGCAAGGGCAATCATACTACTTAGCTCTTAGTTGTGACTACCGCAGCTGGCAGGAACAGAACAGTGGTAATTATACTGGTCTACCTCTACGGTTTCAGTATATCTTTGTACTCGCAGATCCACCGTACCTGAAGAGCTCCTTATAAACTTTTACTTCTGGATGTTGAGCAACATAATGGTTTCCCCTGTTGCATTACACCACTCATCTGCACAACATCGTCTGCGTACTCCAGGTCAGCAAAACATCTCACGGGATATTTCGAATTGGACATCCCGTATTGAACTGAATGTTTATCTTTGTTCGCATCAACAGCTCTAAAAGGAGAACGTTCAGAACTGTTTTTAACACAAAATCGAAAGGGGCACCTGTGAAATCGATAGTATTTCAAGAACTAGAACTGAACTGATAAATGAGATTATTGCTTTTATCAACAGTAATTGACAAAAAATTATACATGAGACAGATAATAAATTGATCATGATAAAAACATTGATTCTTTGGTTCAGTAGGACACGACGAATCTTTTCTACATGAAAGGATTACTAGTAAAATATACAATTTAACCCAGTAATTGTCGCGTAATTCAGTTAAATATTTAGTCCAACATGGCCACAGTTGAGTTTTGGAAATTTATCCCCGCAGTTCAGTTCGTCCGAGTTGCTTTCACCTGATGCATATTTCACGCTAATGTTATTTAGTTTTCTTTCTTATCTCTACTTTCGTCAAAAACTGAAATACAGTTGTATTTGAATTAAAAAGCAAATGATAAATATCATCTCCCTTTCTGAGGGATGGTGACATGACACAAGTTTAGGGCAACATTAAACTGAATCTTTGAGATTCTGACCATCCAAGCAGCACATAAGCTGTTACTTTCAGTCACTTACTGTATATAAACTATCCAGAAACACCAATATCCTTCATTTGTCAGTCCATGTTTTTATCTCCTTAAATAAAGTTTTCTTCAGGTATTAATATTTTCGTAGTGGCTCCAAACTTTCTTCCTGCTTGTATTCAGGGCAACTTTCTAAACATATTTGCCATAAAGACAAAATTGTAATCTCTACTTCTGATGATCACATCCTGGTCAGCCTATTGTTTCAGGGTTTCATGTCAAGTCCCTAAGGTTACAAAAATGACCATCGGACTTCACCCTGGCATGTGATCCATTAATTTAGTCGTTTTCCACTCTCCGAGAGGCAGACAGAAAATGGTGTTGTACAGCGAGCAAGCAAACACTAAACTAATTATCTTTCACAAGGCCGGTCAGCGTGAGGACGTAAGATTCGAAGAGAGGTTGAATGGTCGTTGTTTGCTCACCTCAAAAACATGATGGTGCCAGTCGCGACGACCACGACAGCGGCCGGGAGACAGACTATTAAAACCATGAACATGCAGGTACTGACATGTTCAGATGAACTGAGAGATCGTTGTCTGGCTTCGTTTGATAAAACAGCTCAAAAACTTTGTGGGGACTGTGCCGATTCAGCTGTCAGCTGTTAGCCTCACATAATAAAATTACAACAATATATCAGAACCTGGTTTAAAATAGCACACCGCAAGTTACTTACGAACATCTTCAAGTGTCTGGCACACACCAGTCCGTCGCCGCCATTATTCCCGGGTCCACAACAGACGAGCACCTTCGAGAAGCGATCTGGTGCGTACGTCTTAGCGATGGCCGTGGCACATGATAAGCCTGCCAGCTCCATCAGTTGGTCAACCGAGAATTTATATTCGTTGAAAAGTTCCTGATCGATTGCGATCGCTTCTTGCTGACTTAAAACAAGATAAATAAAGCAGGATGACAAATAACGACTAACCAGCGGAGTAGAATAAAAATATTTAAACAGAAACAATACATACTCGGGGAATAATGCGTTACGATTTATGGCGCAAAAAGATTAAGGTGCTTTTAATCCTTTCATTCTTTGCTTCTCTGCTATCTTTAGAAAGATCAAGTTTACCGCGTAAACGAGATCGCCAAAAAATCTTGCGTATGTTAAATAAAAACATCCAAATTGCCGTAGCCGGTCTGCTAAACTCCATCAAACAGCAGTCACATGACACAAAAGGTCTTTTACGGTTCGGAGCACCCCGGCTTTTAAAAAGTGAACTCTGAGTGCCATGATGCTTTATGATACATTCACTGGTTCTCATGTCCTTATGGAAGAATCACTGCAGTCTTATGCAGTACCATAGTTTGAATGTTAGACATGATTAGCTTTCTATATCCCTCAAAGTCTAACCTATGCATCCACAGCTTGTAACAGATCAGTAATCTGCCTAGTGCAGTTTTAAAGCCATGACATTGACATATTGTAGTGGATTTTGCCAGGCTAATTTTTGCAAATCGCAAAAGTAGGTGAATTCTCGTACAGAATGGAGTCAAAATACTGCTAGAAAATGAGTTACTGCAACTCAGCACCAACAATGGCAATTAGTGTTTATATGTAGTGTCTCGTCATCATCAGGTCGGTGTTAAACCCCAAACTGTTGATCGATGCAGTTTTCTTTACCAGTTGTCACACAATGGATAGACGGCCACACGGCCTTGAAACCTTCCGTGTAGCTGTTTAACGCCAGCTGCATTGCTACTTCGTTACAGATTAAATAATGTCGGCGACAACGGGCAACGTGGCGTACCCATTGGTTGTGAGAGAATCAATCAAGGGATAAGGATGTTGAAGCGGATGATATGCAGTGTAAATTCGATGTTCAACGAAGCATTTCAGCGCTTCGTGCAGCTAACAGAGTGAAGTTCACCGATGTAGTCTATACAGCTGATACATAATCGGCGGCAAAATTCCCGCATAATTTGCACAATCACCGAGATATTTTTTTCAAATTGATATTGTTTACCTGAGAAGCTTATGCTGAGAGAGAAACCGCAGCTTTCAGAAGTTAGCCCATAAAAGGACAAAAGAAACATAAAACTATGATGACACATTTAACCAGTTTGTACAAAATTTTCAGACCCAAGATAGCTAACAAACAAGGTCAGAAGATCTTTAACAACGGTTACATAAACAGACGTGCGCACGATTTCCGGAATACAACTGGACGTTGGAATGAGCGCATAATGAGATCAGGTGTCTGTTCATTTTAACCTACAGCGAACAAGATTTTCAAGCAAGAGATGATCAGCATTTTCTAGGATCATTAATCCAATATACTATTTGCCAATACAACTTGCTTCGCCGTCCGTTCCAAGAAAGTTTCGCTGTGTTTACTGCTACTACTGGAAACTCATTTCACGCAGCGATTCAGTTGAATGACACTATTTCGGGCAAGACCGAAAAGAAAGGGGCCGCCACAGATGTTCACTGGGAAAATTCATGTATAAACAAAAGTACGCATAAGTTCACATGTGGATGACACTCGACGATGCTGGTAGAAGAAGTAGCACAAAATCTGTATATTTGAGACCATCTTTTTGACAGACTCAACCGGGATAAGGTTTTGGCTTTGAACCAAAAACTTAGAGACCTGTGCGTGGCTTGGTTTGATAAAACTGCCCAAGAATAGATGGAAAGTTATTCAAAACCCCTCCCACTTTGGAAACGTGTACTGGCGACAGACGCACTGGAGGGCAATACAAAACATGGAAACAACTCGTTTTCACAGACCTGCATGTGAAAAGAAATATGAACTTTGCTGCAGTAGTGAACGCTGCTTAATATTAATCTGAAATGCCATTTCTAACGGTCTCATCATAAAAATGTTTTGTTAAGTTTCGTCAACCTGAGATGACGACGAAAAAACAGCAACAGTTCAACATATGTGGGAGCATTTCGCTGAAAGTCTTGAGCTGTTTATAACGTCCAGCGCTTGGTAGATAGCATTTTGACACGCATTAAAGTCGAAAAGAGGATGGCATCAGATAGACGACAGAAGTGTCATCAGCATATTCGATGCAGAAGACCGGCTTTTCCAACTTCAAAGCAATCTGCACAATAATAAGAAAGCGCGGGCGCCAATAAAGTGTCTTGACGATCTCTGGAATGATACATGAAAAAAATCGCTCAGATCCAGCGTTATTCAAAATCCTGCGTAACTGTCCGCGACATCGGTCTGCACGTTCTCATGTATTCGATCCAAAATTATTGGTAGTGAAATATTACAGGCATTACAGACCACTGAAACTTTCTACACTTCGAAAACATAGTCAAACAGCTCTCTTTGGCAGATGATGCACACAGCAAATATTTTGCGACAGGCCAGAGTCCTACCTCTGCAGATGTTGTGAAATGCATTAATTACTGAATCGTCGCTAGTAACGCTCCCGGAAAACCCTTAGAGCTGAGATCTATGCATTTTTTGAGTTTCCCGATGGCATATTCGATTCCTGACCATAACGGTTGTGATTTTAAGCATGCATCAGGAAGTAACGTTGACTGCGAGATTCTACTTAACATAATTCTAAGAAGTACTCCACACAAGGGAACCTTCGTTAATAAGCTAACTTACTCGTTAACAAGTCAGTGGTGGTCGATCTGATCTTTGGTAAAGGTGCACACAATTCAGTATAAGCCGTTATCTGTAAAAAAAACACTTTACTCAATGCTTACACATGTAGAGTCTTGCGTACCCTAGCAACGGTCGAAAGACATGGTCAGAAAGTTCTCAATATTAAAAACAGTCAGGTTCTCCATAGATCATGTGACTATTACTCAATCAATCGACAGTGATAACGGCATTCGTAACTTTATTATCATTTAATTGCCATCTACTACCTGTTTTATTTGCATATCTGTTTCGCTCTATATGTGCTGAAATGCATGATTTCTTGGCGATCTTATCTACACAGCCATTTTTGCACTTCATGTTCACAGTGCGTACGGATAGGCTCAAGTCTAAAAAGTACCACAGCAAACGTAAAGCAGCTTTGATACCTGAGATATTTGGGCTCAGTAGACATTCTGCTCCTAATGTCAGTAGTGAAGTGCGACTTCCTCAGCAAAACAGGCTGCGGAAGAAACTTGATGAACTGCAAAACACCGCTCGCAACCTTAGTAGCCAAATGAGCAGTCATCGAAACGCATCATCGGGCAGCAACACGTCGTAATGGAATTCTGAAAAAGAAACTCCGTCAGAAACCTCCTCAGACAAATACGAATGGGAAACATTTATACCAAGCTGTTGCAAAGACATTCTATCTAGTCTGCTAGTTATGAA